TAGCGAACAGTAAAGGTGCAGGATTGTCAGTCTCATATAGATCTATACACAAATTCACGCCCTCCCTACATGAGATTTTGGTTAATAAGTCAGGACTTAAGGTCGTACTTAGTATAAGTACACCATGAAGAGTCTCGCAAATTTATTGTTTCAACGAGATTTACGATGTATTATTACCCCGCGATTGCTAACCCTGGTACTCTGTATTGTACCCTTGTTAATGCAAACTCGGTATGATGTATTATTACCCCGTGCTTGCTCACCCTGGTACTCTGTATCGTACCCTTGTTAATGCAAACTCGGTATTATGTATTATTACCCCGTGATTGCTAACCCTGGTACTCTGTATTGTACCTTTGTTAATGCAAACCCGGTATGATGTATTATTACTTCTTTAATATATTATCCTTATATTAAAAGTATTATACATATCTTGGTATAGATAAATGAATTGTTGGTAATTTCCTTGGAAAGTATACAATCGTGAATCATACTTGTATATTTAGTTTTGAATCATAAATTATACCTATTATAATTTATATGTTCTATCTGATTAGCATGATTTCTCATGGATGAACACCTTTGCTCAGCATGATACAAAGGTAATGATACCGAATGAAGTAACCTTTTATATTCATATATGTATAATATATATAATTAAGAAGGAAACGACCTTCGGACAAATAACACCACCTTAATTCCACATCCAAACAAGGAAAAGGAAATAAGATAATTCATTAGTCCTAAGCCCTTCAAATCTTATTTATATATTTATACTTATATAAACATGATTTTGGCGTTTATAAAACCTTTTTCAAAGAATTTAACGGAGTTTACATGACTTTAAAGATTTAACATGGCTTTAAGTCATTTTGGAAGTATTTGGTAATCCTTAAAAACATAAGGAAAGCCTTTGTGTGATTATTATCACATACAGTTATTAACACAATTTATATTGTGTTCAACTTGTATTCCCCCCCCCCCCCTAAAAAGCATTTAAAAACCATTAAAAAGGCAAATTATAGGGGTATGAACTCACTTTGATAAGTGGTGATTTGGGCAACGTTTCGTTTCTATAGATGCTCTTTCTCAAAGAAACCGTGAGTTTTTGAGTAAAAACTGGCTTTGCGCGAGCATCACTTCGACTGGAAAGAGGCTATCTTCTCGAGAATTCCGGGGCTTCGGGGCTTGCTTCGGGTTTTAGATACGATACCGGGGCCTTGGGGGGTCGTAAGAAAGTTTAGGGGGTGAAAATGTGAAAAAGGAGGAATTTTGGGGTGAAAAACCTCTCAAATCCGAGAAGTCTCGCACCCTTTATATAGGGGTGCGAGGGTTCGACCGAGGGAGGTGAGTCATCAGACAGGTGGCGAGGCTTCGGACAGTTGGCGAGGGCGAAGGCGAGTCAGCAACCACGCGTCAGAAGGAGAAGCGAAGCTGGAGGCGGTTCTCGGATGCGTGTCGGATCAGGAGAGGACCAAACTTCGGTCCAATCAGGAGACGCCATGACGACTTCGGACCAATCAGCAGGTGACACGCGTACTTCGGTCCAATCAACAGCGAACACTTGTCCGACACGGGGAGGCCTCGCATGCGAGGGTGACGTGGCCGAAGAGGGTCCATGCGAAATTTCTCGGTTTTATAGATTTTTCGATTTTCGTGCCAAAAACTTGCGAAATTCATAACTTTCGCATACGAGCTCCGTTTTTGGCGTTCTTTATATGTACGCGTAGGTAAAATTATACTCTACGACTTCGTTTAGACTTCGTCGGCTAATTTTGACTTTATTTTTAATATTATTATTTTTAACAGACCGGGACATGAAATCCGTTAAAAATTCATAACTTCTTCATCCGACGTCCGTTTTCGTCTGTCTTTTTACCGTTGTACTACTTTTGACGAGACCTTCGATTCTCGTTTAAGTTGTGTCGGCTAAATATCGATCGATTTATATTTTCAAATTTTTAGTTGTCTACTGCTAAATCGAAACTTAGAAAATCATAACTTCCTCATACGAAGTCAGATTTTTACGTTTTTTTTATGAACGTTCTCGGTTCAACATATTCTACAACTTTCATTTAGATTGTTAAGGCTAAAAATCCTTTTATCGAAAATTCACCTTTTACACTGAATAGTGTTTTGCCGGTTTTGTCATGGATTTTCGATTGGTCATAACTTCTTTGTTATAATTCGGATTTCAGTGTTCTTTATATTTTTGGAAACCTTGTTACAATCTCTACCACTTTGTTCATACCAATTACGATTATTGATCAATTTATTTTTGACCTAAATTTGACTGGTGTCACATATAAACACCAAGATGTGGCTAAAACATGTTGGACTCGAAACCTTCTTCAACCTTCTTCAAACCTTCTTCGGGAGGCTCGCTCCCTATTTGGCAAAGCCATTATTATGTATTATGATAACATCAATGTCTTTTACCTATTCGACAACCCAATCCAACACCATCAAACAAAACATTAGGGTTGATATTTACTCTTTTCTTGAAATCAATTGCACAAGGGTCAGATTCACGTTCTTTATGTACTATCTAGCTTACAGACATCTTTACAAACATTTATCATTCTCTTTTTAGACTTTCAAGACAGTTTGAAAGTCCGCTTATGACATCTTGCTCGAGACAATAACCCATGCACATTTAGTATTAAGATAAGAACATTAAATTCGCCATGACACCTTAAACGAAGATATAATGACACCTTAAATGAAAGATAAAATTTTCATGTTTAAACTTATATCTATTTTATCATCTTTAAAATTTTCTTAAAGAGGCGCTATGGATATCTTTGGAAATTAATGTGTTTCTAATTACCCACAAATAGAATATATATATATATATATATATATATATATATATATATATATATATATATATATATAGGGAAAAGTTCAATAGAGAACCATAATTATTGGTTCTTCAAAGAACCAAATCTTTTTCAATTTCTAGAGCTTATTCTTTATCGAAAAAAAAATCTAAAAAGATCTAAATTCATATATTAACATTGTGAATGTGAAAAATATTTTTCGGATTCACCGTATGAATCCGGATTCACATTGTGAATTTTCAAATATTCACATTGTGAATTTTACACAAAAAAAAAAAAATTCGAATTTGATATCATTGGAAAAAGGATAAAAAGTTATAAATTTCTGTATTTTTAGTTTTTTTTTTGATAAAAAATAAGTTCTAAAAGTTGAAAAAAAGATTGGTTCCTTGGTTAATTATGGTTCTCTATTGAAACTCACCATATATATATATATATATATATATATATATATATATATATATATATATATATATATATGAGACGGTTCACTTGAGATTAAAAAATATTTAGAGATCTTGAGATTCAACATCAGCCACATAATTCTTATTTGCCGCTCTAATGCTCCAGCGTACCGGCAACAACGGAGTATGCTTAATCATAAATGATTATATGGCAGAGAGGTATAACTATATATGATTATACATGTTTATACGTATATGCCTAATCATAAATGATTATACATATATGTTTGTTCACAGATAGAGTAATTATAAATGATTATGACAGTTGGTGGTGATAGAGGTGGCGGTAGTATAAGTAACGGAGGTGACAGTGGTGGGGTCGGCCAGTGTCAGAGGTGGTGGTAGTGGTGGTGGCGGTGGCGGTGGCGGTTATGGTGGTGGGGATGGTGGCGGAGGAGAAAAGAACGGGCAGCGCTGTATAATCATTTATGATTATACCAAGCCTGTCACGCAAGTACACCGGAGAGTTAGTGCGGCAGATGTGAAATACTTGGCTGAGATTGAATCTCAAGATCTCTATTTTATTTTTAATCTCAACGGAACCTGCCTATATATATATATATATATATATATATATATATATATATATATATATATATATATATATATATATATATATATACATAAAAAAATACTTAGAGATCACAAATTTTTTTTTTTAAATTTTTTATGAAAAATCGCAGCTTTTACTACAAAATCGTTGAATTTTTTTTTGAAAAAAAACCAACATTGATTTTTTTTTTCAGTGATTTTATTAAAAAGGTTGCGATTTTTTCATAAAAAAATTCAAAAAAAAGTTTTGTGATCTTTAAGTATTTTTTTTATGCATTTTTATGATTTTTAGGGTTTTTTTTTTCCAAATAACATTTCCATATATATATATATATATAGTTGTATTATATTGTCGATAAATGATAAAAAGAAAAAAAAAACTAAGTTTGGTTGGTTACATATTGATATGAGAAAAAAATATTCTTTTATTGAAAAATTAAATTGACCGATTTGTATGTCCAAAACGACTCATTTAGGACAAAATAATTAATTAAATAAACCCAAAAATATTGGTCAAAAACTTATATATTTAAAATATATGTGTTATTTTTCTTAATATCCCAATTGATCGACATTTATATGGTTTTGTGAGTGTTTTATTACTTTTTATCATTTATAATTTTAGAATAAAATCATTGCTATTTTATAAAATACAAATTTGGTTTCAAACCATATTTCAAAGTTATACTTTTAATCTCTTATGTAATTTATTTTTATAACTCTTTGTTTTATTAATTACTAGGTTTCAAACCCGTGTAATACACAGGTTGGTTTAAAAAAAAGATTAAACATTAAAATGTAAACAAAAAATATTTTTTAATGTACAACTTTAAAATAAAAAAGGAAGATACGTATTTATTGCAATTTAATATGATATATATGATATTTAATATTTTACATATATAAGTATATGATTTTAATTTTAAAATTGAAACAGACCAAAAATTGACAAGTGGATAATATTTATTTCAAAAATACCACAAAATGACAAGTGTCAAAACTAATGAGAGATTGACATGTGGCAAAAAAACCTTCGTTTATTAAGGAGGATTTATTTATTTTTAATAGCCTAGATCAAAGATGACATTTTTCTAATTATCATCAATTTCAATGATATCTTAGGTTTTTAAAAAGTAATCTCATGGGTATATTAGGCATTAACAATTATTATTCAATAATTATTAAATTAATTAATTTACGAAACTATCCTCTCTCATTATTCCTCTCTCTCTCATCTTCATAGCCATCGCAACTTGCTTCTTCGTTAACATCCATAACTGATTATGAAATAACATTATTGTTAGAGAATCATTATGGGTTGTCTAGTTTGCACTTGCATACATGTATATTTTATATATATCGGTAAAGTTGGATTATTTAAAAGGCTACTGACATTAAAAACAAACAATCTATTGCATTAAGACTTTTTGTATGAATACATTAAAAAAAAATCGGTCCACATTTTTTGGCAGAGATAAAAAAACAAAAGAAATTTTACTTATCCAAAAGGCTTGTATATCATAAAACTAGGTGTCAGACCCGTGTAATACACGGGTTGGTTTAAAAAAAAGATTAAACATTAAAATGTAAACAAAAAATATTTTTTAATGTACAACTTTAAAATAAAAAAGGAAGATACGTATTTATTGCAATTTAATATGATATGTATGATATTTAATATTTTACATATATAAGTATATGATTTTAATTTTAAAAATTGAAACAAATCAAAAATTGACAAGTGATTAATATTTATTTCAAAACTCATGAGAGATTGACATGCGGCAAAAAAACCTTCATTTATTAAAGAAGATTTAAAATAAAAAAGGAAGATACGTATTTATTGCAATTTAATATGATATATATGATATTTAATATTTTACATATATAAGTATATGATTTTAATTTTAAAAATTGAAACAAACCAAAAATTGATAAGTAGATAATATTTATTTCAAAAATACCATAAAATGACAAGTGTCAAAACTCATGAGAGATTGACATGTGGCAAAAAACCTTCATTTATTAAAGAGAATTTAAAATAAAAAAGGAAGATACGTATTTATTGCAATTTAATATGATATATATGATATTTAATATTTTACATATATAAGTATATGATTTTAATTTTAAAAATTGAAACAAACCAAAAATTGACAAATGGATAATATTTATTTCAAAAATACCATAAAATGACAAGTGTCAAAACTAATGAGAGATTGACATGTGGCAAAAAAACCTTCATTTATTAAAGAGGATAGAAAAGTTTCCCATCGTAAAACTCAGGATTGATTATTGAATCAAATACTAGTTGTAATGCTAATTAGCAATTACTAAGGGCGTGTTTGACAAAAGTAGCTGTTAGCTGAAAGCGGGTAGCGGTTAGCTGGTAGCTGGTAGCGTGTAACAGGTAGCTGGTAGCGGGAAGCTGTAGCTTTTATTTGTTATATGAGTGTTTGGCAGAAGTAACTGGTAGCTTTTAAAATATATAAAATTACATAAAATGACAATTGATTAAAAATATATAAATATATAAATATATTTTTAAGGGTAATTATGGAAATTGATTTCAAAAGCTCAGTAGCGTTTTGTTAAACGGTACATGAAGTAGCTTTTAGATTTGGAACGTTTTGTTTAAACTAAAAGTTAAACGCTCGTACTGACAAACGAAGTTTTTTGTTTAAACCATAACGTTTTGTTAAAAGCTAAAAGCTAGAAGCTCCCAAACGCTTCAAAAAGCTTCTTGCCAAACACGCCTTAATTGATATATTGAAATACTGTATAGATTTGGAAGCCGCGGATGTAAATACGTTAGATTTCGAAAATATTGTATTTTTTCATTATTACTCCATTATTTTATGACCAAAACTTGTCCTCTCTCGTTTAAAGAACAGCACCTTTGACGAGCTCATCACCGTACGTCTTTCATTTTTCATCTTCCTCAAGCTCACCAATTAGGGTTTTAAAATCTCTCGATTTCCCCAATCTTTCCAGATTACTACACGCCATGAGAGATTCGAATTTGGATCTGTTCGATCCCAGGACTGCTGTTATGGACTCTTCTGACTATACTATCGAAGTCGGTCGTGGTGACGGCGACTTCGGTTTTGCCTTCAACGATAGCAATTTCTCCGATCGTATTCTGCGTATAGAAATCATTTCAGAATCCACAGAGGCTAGGCCTGATGGCGAAGGTTGCACTAGTCTAGCCGATTGGGCTAGAAATCGGAAACGCCGGAGAGAAGATATCAAAAGAGATAATGGTAATCCGCTCCTTTTCTTGAAAGTCTTAAAACAGCAGGTCGATGTGTGTTTGTGTGTGTATATCTATCGTATGTTTTTCATGATATGCATGATTTAGAGAATTGTTTATGAAATTAGGATAGCGTTATAAGATGTCAAGAAAATGATGATCATTTTATGAAATCCATATCATCAGCTGGGAAGATTACCTACTGTATTCTGTGGTCATAGATTAAGTTGGGAAGATTTTGTTCTGGCGAACGGAATTTATTTACATTCTGTCTACTGGAAAGTGAGTTAGACTTGTACATGTTTCTTATTTGTTCAAGAACGTGTTTGACGTTTTCAAGAAACACTAAACTGGCTGCAAACTGACAGAAAAACTTGTTGGCCTTGAATAATTTGAGAAACCTGTCTATTCCTTCCTACTTTTGTCTGTATACAGTTTTTCTTATATGTAATTTAGTTAAGTTAGAGATGACATGAATACTTTGCTGGGGTACAATCAAACTTAAAAGAATTAATGGAGCAAGTTACATCTCTTAGATTGATCCTTGAGCTGTTGGCTAAATTTGCATAGGATGGAGTTCAGTTGCTGAATGAGGCTTTGGGGTACATTATCATTGACTTTATTACAAGAATTAACATGACTACACTGACATTGCAAATGACTTTCCAGCTTTCACAGCTCTAGACATGGCTGCCGGTCCAGAGGAACAGATTCTGAATCAGCCTGATAACATTCCTGATGATGCAGACACTGAAAACCAGGACGAGGAGACAGCAGCAATGATCGAGGAACCACCATCAGGTATCATGGTGATGGTGATTTTTTTTTTTACTTCTGTTATGGATAATTGTTATTCATGCCAGCCAGAATCAATGATTCTTCTGTTTTGTTTAATAGGAGATGAAGGTGCAAACGACAATGATTCAAACTGGAGCATGGAGTGCTCAACCGTTCTGAGAGTAAAAACTTTACATATCAGCTCCCCAATTTTGGCTGCAAAAAGTCCATTTTTTTACAAGGTAAAACCTCAACAGCCAAATGAGTGTCAGTGTAGTTTATCTGGCTTTGGAATTCTTCACATTTCCCATTTACCTTCAATGCAGCTCTTTTCTAATGGGATGAGGGAGTCAGAACAACGACATGTAACTTTGCGAATCAATGCCTCTGGTACATATCTCTCTCACTGATCTGCTTATGGTTTTTTTTTTTGGATTGCAATTTTTTTAATTGTTACTACTTTTCTTTTTGGAACAGAGGAAGCTGCACTTATGGAACTACTCAACTTTATGTACAGCAATACTTTGACAGTAACAACTGCTCCCGCTTTGTTGGATGTTTTAATGGCTGCTGATAAGTTTGAGGTGGCTTCATGTATGAGGTATTGCAGCCGTTCACTCAGAAATCTTCCTATGACACCTGAATCTGCTCTTCTCTACCTCGATCTTCCATCTAGTGTTCTAATGGCTGAAGCGGTTCAGCCATTGACCGATGCAGCCAAACAGTTCCTTGCTGTTCGTTACAAAGACATAACCAAGTAAGCTTTTTTTTTTCTTGAATTGGTAAATAAACTCACACACCATGCCGATGCCACTCAAAAGAATTGCACCTTGCAGCTTGAACGTTGGTATGAATTATGAAGGATTTTTTCACTTTTCAGTTGTGGTTATCTAAGTGTAGGGTTAAATGCAAGAAATAGCAACATACTTTTAGTAGTTTTCTTATTAATAAAAGGAATGAAAGTAGGATGCTATGATAAACAAATAGTGAAAGTATGTTGCTATTTTGTTGCATTTACCAATGGAGTTGCAATTGGGATTTTATTTAATGGAAGTCTTGGTTGCCAAATGAATGGAATTCAATTCTGTCAAAGCCCTTGGAATAGGGTGGAAGGACTTGAACCCTTTTTATTAAATTACGAAAGTACCCTGACTAAAAATGAAAATTTCAAAATGTTTTATTTAAAATAAACAAAAAAAAAAATCTATTTTTTACCATCAAATTCAATTTCATTTCCATCCAACCAAACACGTGACATATTATGAATTCTTCAGCTTACAATCTTCCCAGAAACACATAACATGTGGGTTTTATTCTTTTATGGATATTGTTTTTGGAGAAAGGGTCCCATCCCATTTATTTAAAAAAAACTAAGGTAGAAAAATGATACATATATATATATATATATATATATATATATATATACATATATATATATATCAGGTTCCAAGACGAGGTTCTGAACCTACCTCTGGCGGGAGTGGAAGCGATCCTATCAAGCGACGATCTCCAAGTGGCATCAGAAGATGCAGTTTACGATTTTGTCCTCAAGTGGTCCCGCATCCAATACCCAAAAGTGGAAGAACGACGCGAAATCCTGGCCACACGTCTGGCCCAATTCATCCGGTTCCCGTACATGACGTGTCGAAAGCTACGTAAAGTGATGGGCTGCAACGACTTCGACCACGAGTTTGCCCAGAAAGTGGTGGTGGAAGCCCTCTTCTTCAAAGCGGAAGCCCCGCACCGGCAACGGACCCTGGCCGCGGACGAAACCCCAAACCCCAACCGCCGCTTCGTGGAGCGCGCCTACAAGTACCGACCCGTGAAGGTGGTGGAGTTTGAGCTGCCACGTCAGCAGTGTGTGGTGTACCTGGACCTGAAAAGGGAAGAGTGCGGGAACCTGTTTCCTTCGGGGAGGGTTTACTCGCAGGCGTTCCATCTAGGGGGGCAAGGGTTTTTCTTGTCGGCGCACTGTAACATGGACCAGCAGAGCTCGTTTCATTGTTTTGGTTTGTTTCTAGGGATGCAGGAGAAGGGGTCGGTTACGTTTGCGGTGGATTACGAGTTTGCTGCCCGGTCAAAGCCCACCGAGGAGTACATCAGCAAATACAAAGGGAATTATACCTTTACGGGCGGGAAGGCCGTCGGGTATCGCAACCTGTTTGCCATTCCCTGGACTTCCTTTATGGCTGAGGATTCTCTTTACTTCATCAATGGGATTCTTCATCTCAGAGCTGAGCTTACCATCCGTCATTGAAACTTGAAACCTGAAACCCACCTTTTCTTTCCTTTTAAGACCTACTAATTAAAATGTTCAACTCAATCAAAAACCTCCTCTTCAGTGTCGGAGGGAATGTAAAGTCGTTGCTACTTGGATTTCAATCTGTTGTTTTCTTTTCTTTTTTGAAAAATTCATATTTAAATTTCTCTCTCTTGCGTAAGTAAGTGTATTCATCCTTTATTTTTTCTTTTGTGAAATGACGTGGCGTATGCGTATGCGTATGTTTCAGCCGTCTTGTTATTTTTAAGCAATATTTGATGTATATGTGCAATGAATACCCTTCTTTGTTTGGGAAAAAATCAACCACTTACTATTTATTGGCTATCAATTAATTGTGCAATCGACCAGATTCGTTACCCAAACAAGGTCAGATCGTATATTCTGCAGATTTTGCCGATTTTTATCACCTTCTAGCATTTCTCATTCAAAGGATTACTATCCAAAAACTTTTTGTAATCAAGTGTCTTTTTTGTCTGCTATATCAGGCATAACACTTGAAATTAAAACATAGGAACATTAAAACAACGCTTGGAATCAAAATAACATACATGACAATTTTATTTGACATATTGACGTCATTTGTCGGACCTTCACACAACTTCTCAAAACTCTACAAACCGGAAAGGTTTGTTGCTTTCTGCACAAAAAGTTTGAAGAGCATTGGCTAATAACATTCTATCATTTTCATCATATAATAAATCGCGTCTCATCCTATGAAACACAGTGTGAAATTATACTGCTACTGTGTTTGTTTTTCTCCATTTGACGAAAAGTTGATATTTACTTCGGTGGCACCCTTCACCTACTTTGCGGTTGTATCGTCGGGTGATTCTAAGAATACCCATCTACAAAGTTGATATCTTCATCCGTGTTCCAAAGACGAGCTATTTTGAGGGATGAAGAAAGGTTTGAAGGTAGTGGAAAATAAAGAAAGTTAGGAGAGATGAATGAAGAAGGTTTGAATGTGGTGGGAAATAAAGAAAATTGTTGGTGTTTATAATAGTTAATGAATGGTTTAAAATTTAAAATTTTGAAAAAAAAACGGTAATATTTTGAAAATTTTGTTAATTTTTGAAAGTGTTGATCATCTTCAATGGTTGTACTGATGTTGTTTGATTGTAACATCAAACCTCTATATTTTTCATCCTTGTCTCTTACCTTCGCCAAACCCATCTCTTTCTTGTATCTTTGAAGCCCACCGCTGCTACCATATGTTTGACCGCCACCAACATCGTTGCAATCATCTTCTATCACTACTTACAAACCTAGATCTAGGAAGAAAAATGTAATTATTACAAAATGTTTGGGTGTTTTAGTTGGAAAATCAAGATTAACGACTTGGGTCCACCGCACTATGTAACATATATCGTTATATTATGTTCTATAGATTAGTTGGAGACCTTGCCAGGTGAAATTTTATGGTGTACATCCTTGTTTGAGTTCTAGGGAGGAGGGATCACCACTGTGGGTTGGGTAGATCTCTGTGGGTAGATCTGCCTTTTGTTTTTATTCAATGCTTTTTAACTTTCGCTTTATTTCAAAGATAAAGTTGGTTTTGGTATTTCATCATCGATGTGAATAAAAGAAGAATAACGAAATCAGTAGAAATAATTTGATTATTGTAACTAGCCGGAGAAGATGATATGATTTAATCGGAATGGGAAGGGAAATTGAATGAGATAAAGGGTGCAGCGACGACGACGTAAAAAAAGGGGTTGGTGAAAAGAAAAGAAATGAATAGACATTTTATTTATTTATTATTAAATGGGTTATTTTCATAAAAGACCCTATATTTTGATTTTTTTTCTTTTTAGACCTAAAACTTTTTTCTTTTCCGAAAAAGACCTAACTTTTAGCTTTGACTTGTTATTTTAGACCCTAACAAGTAAATTAAGTATTTTTATTTCATAAAAGACCCTATATTTTATACTTTTTTCCAATCTAGACCTAAAATGTTTTTTATTTCAAGACTAATTGTATAAAAACATGATTATATCTTTTTAGTTTAAAAATAGACATCGATTTAAACAATGTAATTATTATGCCTACATTTATTTATGATTGGAAAATTCTTTTTCCACGTATATTTATAAAAAAAAGACCCTATATTTTGTTACTTTTTTCCATTTTAGACCTAAAATGTTTTTTTTTCAAAATAAACTCAACTTTAAAATTGGTTATAATCTTCAAGACCAAATATATAAGGTACTTCTTGACTATACTGAAAAAGAAAGTATACATGTATACACAAAAAAATGTTATCTGATCTATTATCTTTTGAGCGAATATAACCTAGAAGAATTACAAAATTTTATTTTTTTCTAAAAGATGTAATTAAACTTTATCTTGGATATATATATATATATATATATATATATATATATATATATATATTATATCATTAAACTTGATATATTGTTTATAAAAAATGTTATTATTACCGCTAATAAAAAGTTCGATGTTAATTTGATGTTTTTTGGTAACATAGACAATACATGGCTAAGATGAATCTTTTAGCATAATAACAATTTTTTTATTTGTAGAAAAAAACAACATACCATGTAATTTAATAAACTGTATACAAAATAAGATTTTGCAATTTTAAACAAAACTTGAATTTGATATATCTAAACAAAACTATTATGAATGTTTAGGATTAATATTTTTATGTATGTATTTGATATAGTTATACCATATTATTCAATAACGGGCTAATGCTACAAAATATTCTATGGCTTTGGTTTAGGAGTATGATAGTTAGTTCGTTTGTTAACTGTTCCAAAAAAATTGATTAAAAAATTCAACCAAAAAAATAATATAGAAAAGTGAGAGAGGGAAATATGTCCAAACTCACGAAATAAGTATACTAGACAAACTAAAAAAAATATTTTGTATACAGTTTTGTTAAATTACCTGGTATGTTTATTTCCTACAAATAAAAAAAAATGTTATTATGCTAAAAGATTCTTCATAGCCATGTATTATCCATGTTACAAAAAAATATCAAATTAACATCGAACTTTTTATTAGCTGTAATAATAACATTTTTTATAAATAATATATCAAGTTTAATGATATAATATATATCCAAGATATATCTTTTAGACAAAAATAAAATTTTGCAATTCTTCTAGGTTATATTCGTTCAAAAGATAATAGATCAGATAATATTTTTTAGTGTATACATGTGTACTTTCTTTTTCGGCGTAATAAAAAAGTACCTTATATATTTGGTCTTGAAGATTATAACCAATTTTAAAGTTGAGTTTATTTTGAAAAAAAAACATTTTAGGTCTAAAACGGAAAAAACTACAAAATATAGGGTCTTTTTTTATAAATATACATGGACAAAGAATTTTACAATCATAAATAAATGTAGGCATAATAATTATATTGTTTAAATCGATGTATATTTTTAAACTAAAAGGATATAATCACGTTTTTTATACAACTAGTCTTGAAATAAAAAACATTTTAGGTCTAAACTGGAAAAAAATACAAAATGTTGGGTCTTTTATGAAATAAAAATACTTAATTTACCTATTAGGGTCTAAAGTAACAAGTAAAAGGTAAAAGTTTGGTCTTTTTCGGAAAAGAAAAAACTTTTAGGTCTAAAAAGAAAAAAAATCAAAATGTAGGGTCTTTTATGGAAATAACCCTTATTAAATTGTTAAATAACTTGTTATGGTAAATAAATGTAAGTATACCAATTGATAAATAAGTTTTTCATAAACACCTATTTGGTTAAAAACTCTATTATAATGTATAATAATTATAATTATTTAAGTAACCTTCTTACATAAGATAAAAAGTAAAAAACAGATGAATGATAATTAAGATTTTAGTCAAGAAGCAAGATAAAAAGTTAAAAACAGATGAATGATAATTAGGTTTTAGTAAAGAAAATGTTCTTTTCTTTTTGTTTAAGAGTACTCGGTGTGGGCAACACCAACATTCGTTTTTCTGACGTGGAGCCATGAAAACGACGTTACTATGCCAAAACACCCCCCTCTTTATCTCGTTTTCGTCCGTTATTACCATTTATGTTGCCCTCCATTGCCTCCATAACGAAATGTAATGTCGGTTAAAATCGAGTGAACAGTAAAAAATATGACCGTTGGTGAACGGTCAAGAGTAAAAAAAAATAACTAATTTTATTTTACATATAAATACACCCATATACATAATTTTTAAACCATACAAATCTTCTCTCATCTTACACATATTTCTCTCATCTTACAAAAAATCCACTTTTCCTTTCAACCAAATATAGAGCAAAATCCGAACACCCCACCTCCAAACACAAACACATCCGTCTCGATGGGGTTCGCAAAATACGAGAATTATATGAACCTACTCAACACAAACACACCACAAATACTACTTCAAGTGAATTTTTTTAATCCCAACTCACCCCAATGCAATTTCTTACATCTCCGTTATATGCAACAAAACCCAAATATTCAACAAAACTTTTTCAGTACTTTTGCTTCTATTCAACAAACAACCACACAACCAATGCTAGAAACTGTTCTCGAAACACAAGCGGGAGGCAGTCGGAAAGGGAGAGGGAAAGGGAAAAGGAAAAGGGAGGGCAGTCGCGACAAGTGAAGAAGAACCTCCACTATGGTGGACACCAGAGGAGGGGTACGCGTTGGCAATGACATGGTGCGAGACTTCATGGAGTTCAACCGTAGGAAATGATATGCGAAGAGTTGGGTTTTGGGAAGTCGTGCTCGACAAATTCCACACGCTTATGAAGAAACAACCATATCGCAATATCGATATGCTTAGTAGCAAGTGGACTCCGATCAGTCGCCGGTGCACCAAGTTCAATGGATTTTCATGAGACTAGAATCACAAAAGCAAAACGATGCGAATGATTTTGATGTGTACAAAGTTACGAGAGAACAATATCAAGTCGAAATGAAGCACACTTTCGAGTTTGAAAAAATATAGGAGATTGTTAAGACTAGATCCAAAATAGAATAAGGCGCCAACATCGACGGAGGCACAATAAAAAAGGTCTCGCAATTCTAGCAAAGTTCGACCAACACAATCTAATCGCCCAACAAAAGGTTAATGTGCAACGTGAGTACTTGGAATTTTTCGTAAGCAACTAGAGGAAGATCAAATAGCGAATGATTTAGCAATTCTCCAGACTAGCGAAGAAAATATGGAACCACGACAAGTGCGAGTGTTCCGGAAGATGAAGGAGATGATTGAAAAGAAATATTTGGATGACTAGTATATCGTTCTTATGTTTTTAGGACTATGGTTTTTTTGCATTTAGTTTTTTTTTTTTCTTTTTTGTATAATGTTATTTTAAGTTTTTAAATGTTATAGTTAATCTAAGATATGTTTTATTTTTTTTTAAATAATCTAACATGAATAAAAAAAACAAATTGAAAAAAAAATCAAAAATAAATAAATTGAAGAAAGAAAAAAAGAAATAATGACATAAAAAATTAGGTGTTATACTACTTGTCCACTCTAAAATGTTAATTTTGAAAGTACAAATAACTTTTCACGTAGGTTCAAAAAAAAATAACTTTTCACGTTTGCTTTGCTTACACGCCACGTAATCACGTATATACGGCCGCATCGGCTATATATACCTACTAAAACACGTAGATACCTTTACCTTTAATAAATCAGATCAAAAAAGCTAGGGTTTTATCGAACGCAGATACCAAATCCACCGCCATCATGCCGAAGAACAAGGGAAAGGGAGGCAAAAACCGCAAGAGAGGAAAGAACGAAGCCGACGACGAGAAGCGTGAGCTCGTATTCAAGGAAGACGGTCAGGAGTATGCCCAGGTGCTCCGTATGCTCGGAAACGGCCGTTGTGAGTCCATGTGTATTGACGGCACTAAGCGTCTCAGCCATATCCGTGGTAAGATGCACAAGAAGGTCTGGATCGCAGCTGGAGATATCATCCTTGTTGGGCTTCGTGATTACCAGGATGATAAGGCGGATGTCATCCTTAAGTATATGCCGGATGAGGCAAGGTTGTTGAAGGCGTACGGTGAGTTGCCGGAGAATATAAGGCTTAATGAGGGTATTGTTGGTGGACTTGACGACGAAGAGGATGGCGCTGGTGATGATTATATCGAGTTTGAAGACGAAGATATCGACAAAATCTAGGGTTTGTAATTCATCCGTTTCTCTTACGATACGAATTCCAGTTTTTGCTTGGTTATTGAGACTGCTTAAATAGGATGTTTTTAATGATCCCCTTTTGATCTGAATCCCATGTCTGTGAGGTCTCTGTATTTACAAAAAAATTATACGCAACAAAATTAAATACATGCTCAGATAAAAATAATTTTTTTCTACAAAATTAATTTCTCAATCTCCACTGTTGATGCCTAATTTATTTACACAAAGTATTGTTGTCTAATTTCTGAATTCTGGCTTCCGCAGTTTTCAAATTGTGATGGAATGAACAAAATTGAGTCTGAGGGGAGTTGGGAAAAATTGATGGTTTGTAAGAAAAGATTTAAGTTTTGTGGAAGATTATTATATGAACGTTTCTCTTCTGTAATGCTACTTTAAAGGGGCAATTTTATGCCTTGTGTTGTGAGTTGGTTGTGGAGCAATCTTAGTGATTATCTTGTCTATGTGAAAATCATAATTGGTCTTTCTTTTTTCCGAATGTTGAAGCATTTTGACATTAAATTATCAGATGCTTTCTCTTAAAATGACTAGTATTATGTTTTAATTTGTTATAAAAGTAACCAGAGTGGATTAGATTGATATAATTTTTTTGAAGACTTGTTTTGATCCCAATTAAGCGTGTTCTCTTGTTCCTTCCTTCCTTCCATCTCTCTTTCTCTTATTGTTTCAAGCACACGCAATAAGCATATTGATTACGGGTGGGTGGGTACCTCTTCCCTTTCTTGAAAGCATGTCTGTTAAAGCAATTGTGGTGACTATAATATAGTTCAACGGCGCATATAGCTTTCTGATTTTATAGCCATTTTGCTGGACCACCGCAACAACCAATTATCTCAACACTACCAACTAGTCTTAGCCCATGTATAATGTTTCCCGCAAGATCAAAGGTTAAGGCTGGTCACTATATGCCTATTAGAAAAGTGAGTCAACACAACATTATCTTCACATCCCTTCTACCAATCTTTAGTACATTATCAATGTTTATTTATTTATTTTATTTTTATTTCATTAAATAATAATAATATATATATATATATATATATATATATATATATATATATATATATATAATTTTCAAAACCAAAAGCATTAAAATTATCATTTAACCCCATGTTACCAAAAACCAATAGCAACCAAGAAATAAAGTTTAAACATCATTTTTTTTTTCTCGGGAATGTAGTAGTCTAGTATTGTTTAGGCGAATTTAACCCACATAAAAATTAGCCCAATAGAAGTGTGTGTAGCCCACTAAAATTTGACTAAGCCCAACCTTTTGATTATGTGCCTTATTTTTCAGTTTTCTTTCTTTCCCATTTCACACACACACGTCCTTTTTCTTCTTCTTCTTCTTTGTTCGAAAATTTGTAGGTGTCGTTTGGTTGAAGAGATGGTATGGGTGGTTTGTTGTTTCCCTCTAAGTCTTCTTGCATTTTTGACCAACCAATCAAAAGCCTTGTCTTTGTTCGTTAAACGCACCAAGCCACAAGACACCTATGTCTGGTTGGGGTGGTGTGTTCTCGTATAGAAATCCTTTTAACAATCACCCTCCTTCAACCAATTGATTTTCGCCTTTTGCTTCAAAAAAACATTCTTCTTCAAAATAAGCTTTATTGAAATGTTTTAAACATTTAAAGGATCACCATCAAGTTTCAACTGAACAGCCTCCGGACCTTATGAGAAAGGTGACCTTGGTTCCATAAAAGTTTGCGAATTGGTTTTTTTTTTTTTTTTTTTTTTTTTTCAGAATTTGAAGCATTTGAACAAAGTGAAACATACATTTTGATCCACCTTATTCCATAACTTTTCCACCAGCTCAGGATTTAAGAGCAAGGACATTGGAGAATTTAAAGGGTTTCTTGATTTACAATTGGTTTTTTATTTGGAATAAAGGAGTTAATAAAAACAGAGAGAGGCTGGTGTGAAAATGATTATAGAGGGCAATATGGTCTTTTTTTTATTAATGGTACGTGTTACAAATATTATATGTGAAGTTTCGAGGTTATTGGAAAATTCTAAATAAGGGAAATAATTGGAGGAGCTGGTACAGGAATAGAAAAGCTTTTTTTTGGGTTTTATAATTTGCGATTGGGCTCAATGGTAGACAGGTGGATATAAGGATGTGGTTTGATTTCTTATGGGTCTGGTGCAGCATTTTGTTTTCAATCATTTCTTGTATAAATTCTTTTTTTTTTTCGCCCTTGAAGATAATGGATAAGTGGAAGATAATGGAGAGCGATGGCTTAAAGATTATAGAATAGCAATGTTCTTTTGTTGATAAAGAAAAAAGATGAGAAGAGAAGAAATGGAAAAAGGAAAGTTGGTTGCTAAAAATGGGTGCTTTTGGAGTTGGATAATTTCTTGTCTTGATTTTTGTAGATTTCAAGTTTTGGTTATTATTATAGAGTATGAATCCAATTTTGCTTTATGGTTCATATGAGCTTGTTGATTTCTAAAGTTTTTCAAGTCACGAAGAAAAGATGGAGGTTGCGTTTTTTGAAGCATGGAAAAATTGAAGACATAAAAGTGGATTATTTTTGGTTATGGAATTGGTTTGGTGGTTCATAAGATATGATTCACTTGCCTAAAATAGTTAAATGGCCATCTACTTTACTTTACTACTCAATACTCATATTCCCATCCATCATCACAATCTATTCTTTCATTTACAGCCATCTACTTTACTTTACTACACTAATCTCCAACAAATTTTTTTTCTTCCAAAAAATGGTCATAAAATATGTTTTACACATGCATTTAAAAAAATAAGATATAATGTAAATGTAATAAAAATGAGACTATGACGTAGAATTCCGCATAGACTTGTTACCAGGGACGACACCAATAGCAAAGACACCTTACCGATTAGCACCGACGGAGATGAAGGAGCTGATGATGCAACTTCAGGAGTTATTGGACAAAGGTTTCATTAGACCTAGTTCATCACCCTGGGGAGCTCCGGTGTTATTCGTAAAGAAAAAGGACGGGAGTATGAGAATGTGCATTGATTACAGAGAGCTGAACAAGGCAACAATAAAGAATAGATATCCGTTGCCGAGGATTGATGACCTGTTCGATCAACTACAAGGTTCAAGTTATTTTTCAAAGATCGACCTGAGGTCAGGATATCATCAGCTGAAAGTAAGAGAGCAGGATATCGAGAAGACTGCATTCAGAACACGATATGGACACTACGAGTTTTTTGGTTATGTCGTTTGGACTAACCAATGCTCCAGCAGCATTCATGGATTTAATGAAGGGTTTGTAATCCGTTCCTTGATAAATCTGTGATAGTGTTCATAGACGACATTCTGATTTACTCGAAAGCCTAGAGGAGCATGGCAGACACTTGCGAGAAGTGTTAGAAGTCTGAAAGAAGAGAAGCTGTATGCTAAGTTCTCCAAATGTGATTTTTGATTCAGAAGTCCAATTCTTGGGTCACGTGGCAACCAAGAAGGGATAATGGTTGTGACAGCAAAGATTGAGGTTGTAATGAAGTGGGAACAACCAAAAAGTCCCACGGGAGATCCGAAGCTTTTTAGGATTAGCCGGATATTACGAAGGTTTATCCCAGGCTTTTCTTCGATCGCTACTCCATTAACAGCTTTGACGCACAAAGGAGCTACTTATACTTGGAGTGAGAAGCATAAG